CCCCTTCATGCTTTGGCCACCATTCCAGAGGACATCCTTCCATGCGGACCATGCTGATGATGCTCATTAAAAAAATGAGTGAATTAAATTTGTGACTGAACTCCTTGGGGGAGAATTGCATGTCTCCTGCTCTGTTTTACCTGCATTCTGCCATATATTTCATGTTGTAGCAGTCTTGGATGATGACCCAGCACGTTGTTCATTTTAAGAACACTTTCACTGCAGATTTGGCAAAATGCAAAGAAGGTACCAATGTGAGATGTCTAAAGATAGCTACAGCACTCGACCCAAGGTTTAAGAATCTGAAGTGCCTTCCAAAATCTGAGCAGGACGAGGTGTGGTGCATGCTTCCAGAAGTCTTAAAAGAGCAACACTCTGATGCGGAAACTACAGAACCCGAACCACCAAAAAAGAAAATCAACCTACTCCTGATGGCATCTGACTCAGATAATGAAAATGAACATGCATCAGTCCGCACTGCTTTGAATTGTTATTGAGCAGAACCTGTCATCAGCATGGACGCGTGTCCCCTGGAATGGTGGTTGAAGTATGAAGGGATATACGAATCTTTAGCGCATCTGGCATGAAAATATCTTGCAATGCCGGCTATAACAGTGCCATGAGGACGCCTGTTCTCACTTTCAGGTGACATTGTAAACAAGAAGCAGTCAGCATTATCTCCTGCAAATGTAAACAAACTTGTTTGTCTGAGCGATTGGCTGCACAAGAAGTAGGACTGAGTGGACTTGAAGGCTCTACAATTTTACATTGTTTTATTTTTGAATGCAGTTTTTTTGTACATAATTCTACATTTGTAAGTTCAACTTCCATGATAAAGAGCTTGCACTACAGTACTTGTATTAGGTGAGTTGGAAAATACTATTTTTTTTTGGTTTTTTACAGTGCAAATACTTGTAATCAAAAATAAAGTGAGCACTGTACACTTTGTATTCTGTTTCAGAGTAGCAGCCATGTTAGTCTGTATTCACAAAAAGAAAAGGAGTACTTGTGGCACCTTAGAGACTAACAAACTTGGAGCCACAAGTACTCCTTTTCTTTTTGTATTCTATGTTGTAATTGAAATCAATATATTTGAAAATGTAGAAAACATCCAAAAATATTTACATAAATGGTATTCTATTATTAACAGTGCGATTCATCACAATTAATTTTTTAAATTGTGTGATTAATTTTTTTAGTCGCTTGACAGCCCTACTTTGCACAAAGTATATCTTGTAAGGTATCATCTGAAAATTCATAATTTGCTGGTCAATAGTGTCCTGATAAAATATGTGTGGCAACAAATTCCACTGTATGGTGTTATTAACACATGTTCCAAACTGTGGCTGGCAAACAGGTCTATCTTACACAAAGCAATGTGTGCTCAGCTTACTTTGCATTTAAGTAGTAAACAGAGTAATCAACCAGGAAGGGGGAACAAGGGAAGCTCAGACAGGTGAGAAAAATGCAGTAGGGAACATCCTTCCACATAGACTTTTTGTCTCCTGGTAGCCAGCTGGAAATGTTTTTCAAACGGGAGGACTGAAACTATAAAAAGGAGGGACAAACACCACAAAAGACCCCACCTTTCTTTAATTGCTTGACAGCCCTAAATATTTCTAGTTCGTTTAGTGAACAATTCTATTTTCCTTCTGAGACAGTGACATCTGCTGGTGAGAAAGTAAATATGTATTATTTACTGATCTTGGTTTCAGAGTAGCAGCCGTGTTAGTCTGTATTCGCAAAAAGAAAAGGAGTACTTGTGGCACCTTAGAGACTAACCAATTTATTGGAGCATAAGCTTTGGATCTACAACCTATCCTGAAGAATGACCCATCACTCTCACAAATCTTGGGAGACAGGCCAGTCCTTGCCTACAAACAGCCCCCCAACCTGAAGCAAATACTCACCAGCAATCACACACCACACCACAGAACCACTAACCCAGGAACCTATCCTTGCAACAAAGCCCGTTGCCAACTGTGTCCACATATCTATTCAGGGGACACCATCATAATGCCTAATCACATCAGCCACACTATCAGAGGCTCGTTCACCTGCACATCTACCAATGTGATATATGCCATCATGTGCCAGCAATGCCCCTCTGCCATGTACATTGGCCAAACTGGACAGTCTCTACGTAAAAGAATAAATGGACACAAATCAGATGTCAAGAATTAGAACATTCATAAACCAGTCGGAGAACACTTCAATCTCTCTGGTCACTTGATTTCAGACCTAAAGGTCGCAATATTACAACAAAAAGACTTCAAAAACAGACTCCAACAAGAGACTGCTGAATTGGAATTAATTTGCAAACTGGATACAATTAACTCAGGCTTGAATAGAGACTGGGGGTGGATGGGTCATTACACAAAGTAAAACTATTTCCCCATGTTTATTCCCCCCCCCCCATTGTTCTTCAGACGTTCTTGTTAACTGCTGGAAATGGCCCACCTTGATTACCACTACAAAAGGTTTTCTTCCCCCCCCCCCCACCTCCTGCTGGTTATAGCGCATCTTAAGTGATCACTCTTCTTACGGTGTGTACGATAACACCCATTTTTTCATGTTCTGTGTGTATATAAATCTCCTCACTGTATTTTCCACTGAATGCATCCGATGAAGTGAGCTGTAGCTCACGAAAGCTTATGCTTAAATAAATTGGTTAGTCTCTAAGGTGCCACAAGTCCTCCTTTTTTTTTTTTTTGATCTTGGTTTGTCTAACAAACTGTAACTATAAATGCATGAATTGCGTGATAAGGTGAGCTTGTCTATGTTTCTCCAGGATGCATGTGAAACTGTCTAAAAATACAGAACAAAGCTGCAGTCACATTTCTAGCTTATCTTGTCTGGATGATAAATATATTTCCCTTCCACACCTCTCAGTGGTGGACTGCCTGTGGCTCAAACCTATTTCCACTGAGGACAATGGCAAAACTCCCTTGCACTTCAGAGGGGGCAGGACGACACTCCCATGGTTCTATGGAGTCCAACTACTGGTACCAATTCCATGTTTGATGCAGTATGTAAACCTGCTGCAGTAAACAAGAGATTCTGATGGACACGCCTATGTTTTAATTAAGTGGTCACTTGTAACTGAGTAACAGCACAGAATTCTGTGTAACAGCACAGAATTGCCTTTGGAAATTTTGTTTTCACTACTGCAGTGTGTTACCGTGACAGACGTAAGCTATCATTATAAAGCCTGCACTGCCAAGCATCCACCCACTCGTCATTCAAGTCAGTCTTTAAAATCCACATCAATCTGTAAATCACGAAAGCTCATGCTCAAATAAATTTGTTAGTCTCTAAGGTGCCACAAGTCCTCCTTTTCTTTTTGCGGATACAGACTAACGCAGCTGCTACTCTGAAACCTGTCAATCTGATGAGTAGACTACTATGGCATTGTTGGTGGGATTGTAAATAAACAATACGGTCAGCACCTCCTTTGGCATTTCCTTTCCTGAATTGTGTGGTTTGCCTGTTTACTGTAGGTTCTGTATTGCACAGGGCTGAGCAGACTATCCGTGCTCAATACATAGTTCTATCAAATTGAGAGAACCAGAAATAGCAATTAACTTGGTGCAGTTCTGCTCCAGCTGTCATGTTACTCCCGGGTTCAATCAGGGGTCTCCTTCCCCAGGTAACAGCTGCTCTGGATCTTTGGCTGTCGGCCGAGAAAAGGTTCTGATACACAGCTTCCCAAAGGAGGCCTTCTAGTACAGTTATGCACGGGGTCATGCGTAGGAGCCTCAGTTATCACCTTCTTAAAAAGCTGTTGTGCCATGAGAATTGATAGAACATCAAACTCAGGAACCAATTTGGGAACCCCTGCCTCAGAGAACTCTACTTTCAGGAAGCATTTGATGATTGTGGACAGTATATGCAGCAAAAGCAACGGTTCTCAACCTTTTTACCAGTGTGGGTAAATACCACCTGTATGGCTCTGATGTCAAAAGGGCGGCAGCTGTGTGCTGACTGGGCTGCAAGTGGCCCATGGGCCGCAGGTTGAGAACCACTGGAATAAAGTCTGAATGTTGCATGGTCTTGCCGCTCTCTCTTTTTATGCTCACATGCAGAACAATTGCTAGCAGATTGGAGGGGAGGAGAGAATTGGAAAGATGGAGGGGAAGGAGCTTCAGCCTAGCAAAGCCTCACAGTGTGACGGACACACGGTGAAGGGTACAAGGAAAAATACCAAGTGGGTTGTGAGATGCCCAAATCCATGACAGGTGTGGGCTAGTGCTGCTGTGCGTTCCCAAGTCTTCTGGGGGACCATGGTTTCAAAACTGGGTGCGACAGCCTCCTCCCTCCCTCCCCCTCCAGCTGTGCCTCTGCTGCTGTGCAGGGCAGGGCGGTGGGGTAAAGGGGCTGGGGCATGGTATTCGCTGGGGGGACAGGAGCATGGTTTGGCAGGGATAGAGATGCCACTGGGGTGAGGGAGATGGATGTTGGGCACCATCTGGCAGGGGAGGTGGGGATGCCGGCTGATGTTGGGGGAGGAGGCGGGAACTGGTGGAGACCCTGTCTCGGGCAGGGAGGTGACAGGATGCTCAGGGAGGGTAGGTGCGGGGGGGGGGGGAGGCAGGTGGGCACCAGCTGGGGGTACAGCAACGGGGAGGGGATGTGGGCATCAAGGATGGGCACAGTCAGGGGGAGGGAGAACGACCTCGGGATACAGTCGGGGGCCGGGGCCACCGTCCCTGTGGTGGAGGAAAAGGAGAAGGGGGTGGGCAGGGGGCACCGTCCCTGTGGTGGGGGAGAAGGGGGTGGGCGGGGGGCACCGTCCCTGTGGTGGGGGTGGGCGGGGGGCCGGGGGCACCGTCCCTGTGGTGGGGGAGAAGGGGGTGGGCGGGGGGCACCGTCCCTGTGCTGAGGGAGAAGGGGCCGGGGGCACCATCCCTGTGGTGGGGGAAAAGGGGGATGGGCGGGGTCCGGGGGCACCGTCCCTGTGGCGGGGGGCGGCTCGGCTCGGCCCCGGGGGGCGGTGCTTCGCCGGGCCGGGCCGCGGCCTGCGCCGTGAGGAGCCGGGCCGGGGCCATGGCGGGGCCGGGCTTCGTGCGGACGCTGGAGAAGCGGGACGGCTCGGCGCTGCGGCTGCAGCAGCGCGGCGCGGGCGGGGTGGGCTGCGTGGTGTGGGACGCCGCCCTGGTGCTGGCCAAGTTCCTGGAGAGCGGGGCCCGGGCCCTGCGCCGCCGCGCCGTGCTGGAGCTGGGCGCGGGCACCGGCGCCGTGGGCATCATGGCGGCCACGCTGGGGTAGGGCTCGCCCGGCTGGGCGGGAGATGGGGCGGGCCGGGCTTTGGGGCTGCCGCGGTGGATCCGAGCTCAAGCGAGCCCCGAGTCCTGGGGGTCGGATCTGGGGCGTTAGCTCGCCCCTTTAAAGGGGGGGTCACTTGTAACGCTGGGAGCTAGATCTTAACCCCCCCAAAAAAAATTGAGGGGGAGGGGTGCCCGCTGCTGATCCGTGAGGTCGGCGCTGCCCTCAGGGTATGTCCAGGCCGCACACCCAGCTGGGGGCTGTGAGTCGGGTTTGAGCCCGGCCCCCCCTTCCGTCTGTGCAGGAGTCAGTCTCGGGGCAGGGGGTAGCCCCCCGCCAGGGCTAGGATCCCCTGGGCCCTGCTGTGGCTAGGGTCTGTGCCCTGTCGTTCTGGAGTGTGGACGCAGCTCAAGCTGCAGACCCGAGTCAGAAGGTCTGTGTCGTGCGGTGGGGACGTGCGCAGCACGGCTGTGACACCCAGGTCCGGTATTGTCAACCCAGGTTTACCACGCAGTGCGGAGGCTCAAGCACAGGCCTGGAAACACCTAGTCGCAAGCCTGGGTCCCACCCACTTGGGCTTAGTGTTCAGTGTAGACATACCCAAAAGGTAGATCTGTGCTGTAAAAAAACCCAACCCATGGCAGCAAGTCTCAGAGCCTGGGTCAACTGACTTGAGCCTAAAAATTGCAGTGTAGACGTTCCTGCTTGGGCTCTGAAATCTAGCAAGGGGCCTGGGGCTCAGAGCCTGGGTGCCAGCCCAAGCCCGTACAATTTTTAGCCCTGCACCCGAGCCCCGTGAGCCCATGTTAGCTGACTTGGGCTGGTCATGGCCATGCTGTAGGGTTGTTTTTTTTTTCTTTTTTCTTTTTTCTTTTTGGCAGTGTAAACTATGCTGAGTGACCACCAGCAAAGAGAGTAACAAAAACCCAGCCAATTTCTAAAGATGGGCCTTTAACTGAAGTTATGCAAATTTACACTGGAACTCACCTGGGGGTGCTTTAGTTTAAAATATGGGTTGGGCCTTCAGGGGAAATATCGCTCTGTTTTTATACAAGGATCCCACTTTGTAGGAGTTGTAGTAGAATCCTGTTTCCTGGTCTAACCCTCTTAAATTCTTATGGCAAGTTGCATTTTGTGAGCCAAGTCGTCTTTCCATCAGAACAGGAGCGAGAATTGCTGAAGTAACTCGGCACATATTTAGTCATGACTTTAGTCTGCAGTAGCTTTCTAAAAGGAATGAAAGAGGTTACAGATATGTCTATTTTCAAACATTAATAAGGAGTCTTAAATTTGTGTTTCTGGGGCTTCCTTTGTATGAATTAAAAATATTTCTTTTGTAGGGCAGATGTTACGGTCACTGACCTTGAGGAACTTCAGGATTTGCTGAATGTTAATATTGAAAAGAACAAGCATCTAGTCACAGGCTCAGTTCAAGCCAAGGTACTGAAATGGTTTGTATAATCTTTTAATCTTGATATTTAACTTATACGCAATTGCTGTAGAATGTTAATAAATATTTGTTTTATCAGAGCACCTATGAGCCCTAATCACAGACCAGAACCCCATTGGGCTGGGTACTGTACAAACACAACAAAAGGAGAGCCTTACCCCAGGGAGCTTACAGTCTAAGTTCAACGCAAGAGATAACAGATGCTAAACTGCCAAATATGTTTGGAAATTGTGGTATGATAGATTACTTGTAAAAATGGAAATTCCCCTAAAATATACAGTGAAATAAGTAGTGGAGGACTTAGCCCAAAGTCATATAGATTTTGCACTAAATGTTACACTTTTAAAACATACTTTTTTTTTTTTTGGTATAATTGAAGTTTGCATTTTATATTTACCTGTTCACTTTTTCTAGGGGTGAAGATGTAAAAGAATTTCTGCCTGCACCAGATTATATACTTATGGCAGACTGCATTTACTATGAGGAGGTAACTATTTGAGAACTGTAGAAATAATGACAGGTTTCAGAGTAGCAGCCGTGTTAGTCTGTATTTGCAAAAAGAAAAGGAGGACTTGTGGCACCTTAGAGACTAACAAATTTATTTGAGCATAAGCTTTTGTGAGTGAGCTGTAGCTCACGAAAGCTTAAGCTCAAATAAATTTGTTAGTCTCTAAGGTGCCACAAGTACTCCTTTTCTTTTTGTAGAAATAATGAGTTTGATTGGAAAGAACCTGGGAATTTTGGATTTGGTGTGAGAGACTCTGCAATTTGTATTAAAATCTTTAAATAAATATTGCCACTAGTTTTCAATCTATGTGGCTCGGAAGAACATTACTTGATGGCTGAGTATTGAATGATGAATTTTAAAAGCTGTTGTTTTAAAAATGAGCAAATAACACATTTAGGGTCAAAAAAAGAAAAGGAGTACTTGTGGCACCTTAGAGACTAACCAGTTTATTTGAGCATACGCTTTGAAGTGAGCTGTAGCTCATGAAAGCTTATGCTCAAATAAATTGGTTAGTCTCTAAGGTGCCACAAGTACTCCTTTTCCTTTTACGAATACAGCTGTTATTCTGAAACCTGACATTTAGGGTCATGTGGTATGAGGCCTGAATCGGGTCTTTTGAAAGCAGTAGTTCAGAATTGTGCCCAATTTTTTTTTTCCTTGGAGTTGTAGGGAAATAAAATACTGCTAGCTGATACTGGAGAGTTTCACTGTGTATCGGTGGACATTGTATTAGATGATGCTGAAAGACTCGGCATTATCTCCCTCAGGGATTCCCCGTGGGTCTGTTGGGAGGAGAAACCATGCTTCAGAAAGTGGCCCTTCTGGTCCATCCCCCTCTGCAGAACTCTCTCCTTGTGGTACACCTGAGCTAAGGCTAGTACAAGATCTGGGTTGGGGGAAGCAATCTCTAGGAACTAGTCCTCCTGACCCTCCTTTTAGTTTTCTCACCAGCCTCCAGAGCCACGGCCCTACAACTCAGAGCCCTTTTTTCCTAAAGGACAATCTCTAGCCCTAAGTCACATCTTAAAATTAAGTCTGGTTAAATATTTTTTAATTTTTGAAAACAGATGTCTGTAAGTCCAATGTATTGCTGTGAAGAAGAAGTAATCTGGCATATTTCAAGGAAACGGCTACTTTAGCAGTGTAGTATATCCTTGGCTTGGATGATATAGACATAGAGGCTTATAGATAAAACTGACCTATACATGGAAAATGTGTAAAAGGCCATTTTTTCTGAGCAATCTCATATTGTAACTTGTTTTTCCATTTATCCTTTCTGCTAACTACAAGTCACTTGTCCGAGTCACTGTACTAAATATAACTCGCTGTCTGAAAAGTAAAATAAGAAAGTGTCCGGTTCAGTGAAGCCTGTCTCTAGTTACGGAATGTAGTAGTAGTAAAGTGAACGTTGAAGTCTAAGTGGCGAATACTTGATCTCTTTTGGGCAGTCATTAGAGCCATTACTGAAGACCCTGAAAGAACTGTCAGGTCCTGATACCTGTATCATATGCTGTTACGAACAAAGGACTATGGGTAAAAACCCGGAAATAGAGAGAAAATACTTTGAGGTAAGTGTCCTTTGCCGTCGCGCATGCTTTGTGTATATGAGGACTGTGTAATGGTTCACTTGAAATCCTCGAGTCAGTTCCCTTCTGTGTCGCTGTACAAGTACAATGCATAGTACAAGTCAAGTACGTTTGTTGTGGGAAAATTTCATGTGACTTTGGATGAGAACACTTTTTCAGATGCAGGGAAGGAGTTGATCGCCAGTTGCTTAAATTGTGTTTTCTGATTTATTTAATAATCTCCTCCTTTTTGGGGACAATAATTTTTTTTTAACACCTTAGTTCTGCATTGATGCTTTTGATAATTCACATTCATTGTGACCATAGTAAACCAGACTCACAAAGAAAGTCAAATAGTTGTCTGTGCTGCTTGAAAGATCTTACAGATTAATGAAAGAGCACCACATGTATAGGTCACTATCTGCAAAAAGAATAATGCAGTCACTTTTGTAGACATGAGTCCATTAGCGTTTTGATTCCCCCCCACCCCTGCAGCTGGCTTGATGTTCCCAAACAGGGTCTCAGAGATCCAAAATTAGTCCTTTCAGTTTTTTTAAAGAAATCTCTTCAAAATGATCTTTTGAAAGTATAGACTTTTGGTATATTCAGAATATAAGTACAATTTTCAGAAGTGTCAGTGGGACTTAGGAGCCTAAGCTCCATTTTCACAAATGGTTTAGGAGCATAAGTCTCATTGAAATTCAGTGGGATTTAGGAGCTGAAGTGCCTAAATGAGCTTAGAAATTTGGGTTTAAGTTGTTAAGTCACTCAGGGTATGTCTACACAGCAGTTAAACACCCACGGCTGGCCCGTGTCAGCTGACTTGGGCTCACAGGGCTTGGGCTGTGGGGCTGTAAAACGGCAGTGTAGATGTTTGGGCTTGGGCTCTAGCCCAAGCCTGAAAATCTACACTGTAATTTTACAGACTTGCAGCTTGAGCCCTGTGAGCCCGAGTCAGCTGACACGGGCCAGCCGTGGGTGTTTAATTGCTGTGTAGACATTCAAAATTTCCCCCCGTATGTCAATATTAGAGCATGAGTAGGTGGCATAGAGGAATTATATCTTGGTCTGGGAACCTCATTGTCACAGCATAGTACTTCTTTGCCGGTGGAAAAAACAAATCATGGGTAACAGCTGGATTCTCCTGAGGTACTGAAGGCCAAATAGTCCGAAGTTGTGGAGGTGCTAGTCAGTCCAAAATTTGGCCCTGCATCTGCAAAGCGCAGCCGTTCCACGTGAACACTGGGACCTACAGAATGCCCTAATATGGGCTGGGGAAGAGGGCAAGGACTTCTGAATAATGCCTGTGTGTGCCAGCATTACCAATACTCTGAGAATTGCATTGGCTTTGGGGTATATATCGTGCTAGTGGCCCTAACAATATCTTGAATGCTTTGGAACCTGGTTACCTGAGGAATACTGTCGTGTTGCCAGAGTTGAGATCAGTGCTGGTGCTGGAGCCAGTGCTCCCACAATATAAACAAGAGTGGGTCAGGTGGTCGCATGAGGTTCCTTCTTTGGCTTGCCAGAATCCAGATTTGTTAACTTCCCAAGCACACTGCAAAGCCCATCTTTTTTCACTGGTATTTAGGGAGGTAGGGGGAAGTATGGGTGGTGATATGATGTGCTTTGGCCTAGTACTTTAGTTTTTGTGGAAGAGCTTTTTAACTGGAATTTAGGAACTGGAGATTTGAGGAATTGAAACACTATTTTGATTGATTTTGGTTTTTCCTGTTGGTTCTTAAATTCTGGGACGGGTGTATGACTCTGGATTAGCACCAGATAAGTTAAAATTAAAATAACTGTGCTGCGTGGTGTTATTAAAAATAAAATTGTTAATTACCTAAATCAACAAACTTTTGTGGGAGAGAGGGATCCCTTGGGCTATCTTACCTCCTGAAGCATAGCTGCTTTATGCAGAATATTTTAGGACCGTCAGTGAAACGAATGCACTTAAAGGTATGTTAAAATGTCAACATTGCTAGAAGTATTTTGCTTACTACCTTTTATATTTTAATAACAGCTGCTCCAGATGGACTTTGAGTTGGAAAAGGTTCCCCTGGAGAAACATGATGAGGAGTATCGGAGTGAAGACATTCACATCTTGAACATCCGAAGGAAAAAAATGGCAGGGTATTTTTTATTGGCATATTGGAGATTGTCAATAATTCACAAAACTGTGGTTTACCTAGCATAATTTGAGCTGGTGGGTGAGTGTGAGGAGACAGAAGAAATATTCAGCCACCATTCCCAACGTTACAGTATGCAGCAGTTACAGATACATACTAGTATATTTATACATTCCATGAGCAAGACTTTAGACTGGTTAGGAAACAAGGTTAACGTCCAATCCACATTGCAAACTAAACTGGACCTACATTTGTAAATGGGCTGGGGACAAGCTAACTGGAACCAGGTTCCCTGGTGTTGTATGTTGTAGTGTAGGGTGGGTCTGAATGGGCTGTTTTAATTGTGCCAGATACGGGGACTTTAACTTTCCAAAACGTTAAGCTTAAATGTGAAATAAAAAGTTTTTAAAATAGATATCAAATAAGGCCCCAAGTTTGCAAATACACTTGAACAACACCAGCTTTAAAAGGAAGCTTGGATGTTAAAATATTTATGAAGAAAAAGAATTGCAGATTTAGTCCTTTTAAAAAAAAAAAAAAAAACCAAATTAGTGGCAATTGGATGTCTAACAGTGAATGCTGGGGAAAATGAGGTAGGATCAGAGGTTAAAATAGGGAAAGCACAAGTTAAAAATGACTTAGACAAGTTAAATGTCTTCAAGTCACCAGAGCCTGATGAAATACATCCTAGAATACTGAAGGAACTGACTGAGGAGATATCTGAGCCATTAGCGTTTTATCTTTGAAAAGTCACGGAAGACAGGAGAGATTCCAGAGGACTGGAAAAGGGAAGTTATAGTGCCATTCTATAAAAAGGAAATAAAGACAACCCCGGGAATTACAGGCCAGTCAGTTTAACTTCAGCTGGAAAGATAATGAGCAAATAATTAAGCAATCAGTTTGCAGACACCTAAAAGATAATAAGGTGATAAGTAACAGCATGGATTTGTCAAGCACAAATCATGTCAAACCAACCTAGTAGGTTTCTTTGACAGGGTAATAAGCCTTGTGGATGGGAGGAAGCGATAGATGTGTTATAGCTTGACTTTTGATACTGTCTCCCATGACTTTCTCATAAACAAACTAGGGAAATACAACCTAGATGGAGCTACTATAAGATGATAGGCATAACTGGTTGGAAAACTGTTCCCAGAGAGTAGTTGATCAGTGGTTCACAATCAAGTTGGAAGGGCTTATCAGTGGGGTCCTGCAGGGATTTGTCCTTGGTCCGGTTCTGTTCAATATCTTCATCTTACAAAATTTGTGGATGATACCAAGCTGGTAGGGGTTGCAGGTGCTTTGGAGGATAGGATTAAAATTCAAAATGATCTGGATAAACTGGAGAAATGGTCTGAAGTAAATAGGATGAAATTCAATAAGGACAAATGCAGAGTATTCCATTTAGGAAGGAACAGTCAGTTGCACATACACAAAATGGGAAATGACTGCGTAGGAAGGAGTACTGCGGAAAGGGATCTGGGGGGTCATAGTGGACCACAAGCTAAATATGAGTCAAAAGTGTTACACTTGCAAAATAAGCGAACGTCATTCTGGGATGTATTAGCAGGTGTGTTATAAGCAAGACACAAGAAGTAATTCTTCCGCTCTACTCTGCGCTGATTAGGCCTCAACTGGAGTATTGTGTCCAGTTCTAGGCACCACATTTCAGGAAGGATGTGGACAAATTGGAGAAAGTCCAGAGAAGAGCAACAAAAATGATTAAAGGTCTAGAAAACATGACCTCTGGGGGAAGATTGAAAAAATTGGGTTTGTTTAGTCTGGAGAAGAGAAGACTGAGAGGGGACATGATATCTTTTCAAGTACATACAAGGTTGTTACAAAGAAGAGGGAGAAAAATTGTTCTTCTTAACCTCTGGAGATTTTTAAGAGCAGCAGGTTAGACAAACACCTGTCAGGGATGGTCTTCTGGATGATACTTAGTCCAGCCGTAAGTGCTGGGGACTTGACTAGATGGCCTCTAGAGGTCCCTTCCAGTCCTATGATTTATGGTAAAGTTGTCTCTTTATTGTTTGGAAGAAAAAAATAGCTGGCAAACCCCGAGTTGTTCGCTCATGGAATAAAATGCTTTAGTTAATATCTTCCACATTTTACTTAGCTTGAAAAGCATAGTACAGATGCTTTTATGGTGAACTATAAGACAGTCTAGTTTCATTATAGCTCCTGAAAATGTCTGTCCTCTGAAATGCTATCTTGTAATCTCTTACTGCAAAACCTAGCAAATTCCAACTTGATAAAAGTATCCTACAGAAACAGAGCCCTAGCCGCCTGCTCTTTCTTCAGTGCTGGAAACAGAAAAGTGTCACAAGGCTGTGTGAAATTAGGCCTTTTGTACACTTACACCAATAGGTCCAGCATTTAAAGTGGAGATCGGAAAAGGGCAAACTGCTTAAACTCTTCAAAAAAGGGTGCATCTCCAAAAAGCACTACAGAAAAACGAATAGTTGATATGGGGATGTTGTTTTGCTCAGTGGTACAATTGAGTTACTGTTGGATATCTTAGGTGTAACAACATTGAACTTGAAACTTTAAGGATACGTGGTTTCTAACTTGGAATTACCTATTAGAGCTAGTCATTACCATGAGTTTCATGATGTTCCCTTTAGGAATAATGCTTAAGACCATCTGCATTTGTCTGACATTTGCGAAGCATAGGAGTCAGGGGAAGGAACTCAATACAGTTTTATGTTAAACTTGTTGCAGTGACAAACATTCTAATGCACAGCCTAGCACTGACACTGGTCTATGGATCAGGTCCTTGGAGACTTTGTTCATGTTAGCTAGACCATGTTCTTTCTATATGATGTAATATGGAGAATATATTGTGCAGAGTGTAGTGACAGAACATATCCAGAGCTAGTGTTTAAATACAAGTGGGCCATTTAAAAGCCTGTGTTTGAGGTTTTAAATCTTTTTTTAACAGAATTTCCCATCGTGAGATCTTTGACCATGTTAACTGATCCTCTGGAGAGAAGAGAGAGAGTATCAATTAACTCAAAGAGCCTGTCTCCAAAGCTGTTCATGGCTCATCTACAGAATTCTTCTAGATGGCGGATTGGGGATGAGACATAAGAAGAAAGTGGGTCAGTCGCTATAGAATCACAATCAGTATCCGCCTTAGAGGACAAACTCGATTTTTTAATATTGACAAAGCAGCCTCACCAAGAGAGAGCTAAAAATGGGACTGAAATGTAACCTAGATTGATGTCATGTTCCATTCATCTGCATGGGCCATCTGTATAGATGGGAGGGCCACACTGGTGAATCAGTGTCACAGCGTCAAATAAATCAGATCCGAGCGTTCCATAACAAAGCCCGTCTGAACAGAAGGGCATGCAGGAAGCTGAAGGTCACCCACTTTTCCCGAAGAGGAAACTCCTTATTTTGCCTTGAATTTCGCCTTAATTTAAGAGCAGATGTCTATGTATATTTCATAAAGAGTTTGTACTTGAGATGGTTCTTGGTTAGCTTTTGTTCTGCATGCAGTTTTGAAGCCTTCTCTATAGTTATGGGTTACTTTAACTAATTACCCACCTCAAGGTGGGTGTTTACACCTACTTTAATCTTGGATAGTTGAGCCCCCAAGATTGACTATAGTAGAGTGGTTATCCGTAGAAGAGAGCCTGCCCCATAGTGCACAACAGAGATGCAACAGTGATTTTTCTATACTAATTACTTCTATTAGCTAACCAAACAATACACACACTGCTGTCTGGTAAAGGAGAGACCAACCAATCCAGAATGATGGTATTTGCATTACCCACATTAGGCCTTGCGGAAAAGTCTGAAGTGTTAGCCTTCATCCTCGCTATCATCACCACCACTAGTGGTCATCATTTTGTTGTCTTCCCCCACCAAGGCGCATGAGCCAGGAGACAGCTTTTCTGACGTGATAGGCTGATGTCCACTAGCGTTCAGATGTATTTATGAAGATTTTAACCCCTTTTCCTTATTTGCATTTCCACATCTCACTGTGTTTGGGGTTCCCTGCTTTGCAGAGGCTAACTTGTAAATTCCTCTCCTACTCATTAGCATTTACCTCACTTTATCACTCAGCAGTTATTTTCAAAACATCAGCATATCACAAACCTAGACACAAGCTCAGCACGTTTATTATTAACTTATCCTAAGGCCTAATTTGGCTAAGCTAAATATTTTACAGGCCTGAGGCATGTAGGCCTTGTGTTACAATATTAATTAGTACTTATTTCACTTCTGTATACTAAATATACCGGATACCTTTTATCCTTGGCTACAGTTTGTACATTATTATTTGTATGGCAGTGGTGTCTCCGAGTGCCCCAGTGATACACCAGCACCCCATTGTGCTAGGCACGATGCAAACCCCAAACAACAAGATGGCCCCTGACCTATGCTAGATTGTTCTCCTTAACTCCGTATGTATATTTATTTCCAATGTTAGTAATTGAAATGTCAAAATCTGACTTTCTGGTGAGTTTAAAATAGTCCTTGTAATACCCTAGTCAGGTCAGCTTTGATTGCTACAGTCCATCTAAATGAATATTTAATGAAATTTAATTTTGGTAGAAAACCTTTTCTTGCATCTGTGCCATAGTTTAATCAGATATGGCGAGATTGTGTCATCTTGTATCTATGAGGGGTTGCTTTGAGATCAGCGGGACTACTTGAATAAGGTACGGAGTGTGTCCCATAATTTTATATTGGTTACATATTACAAAATGTGGCAATATTTCAAACTTCAAAAGCTTATATGTTTGGTGCCAGTGAACATTACTTAAACCCCAGCCATGGATTACTTTGTAGGGATTAAGGTTTAACAATACAGGGCAAGGCATTTATTGAGTCAGTTTGTTAAATTCTGGCACTGTGGCTTCTGTTTAATGCCCCTTCATAGCATTCCTTGTAAACCTTGCACTTCACTGTGGCTTTGTTGTCTTTGGCTCTGAAGCATGGCCCACATGGATTGTACTCTTGTTTTAATAGGCAATTGTGAGTTTGCCCTTGAGATGTAATTGTTGTGTTAACCTCTAGTGCAAGGAATTTCGTAACTTTTCAGTTTTACCTACATGGGGAAATCTACCAACATAATTATACCACTATAGTTATACTGATAACTTTCTGTGTGAACGCTCTTTTTCTAGAATAAGCATTGACATGGGCAGTTTTATAGTATAAATAACTATGCTGGAAATTTTTCTTGTGTAGACAAACCCTTAAGCTCCCATTGAGCTGAGTGGGGGCAGAATTAAGTCACTGTGAAAATCCTCCCTACTCTGGCTAGGCTAACGGGGAAGCGATTGTTGGGGGAAGGAATAGTTGCTTCTTCCGTGTCCTTGCCTCCCATAGAAGTATTCAGTCATCACAGCCACCCTGTAATTTGTCAGGCTAATGAGTTTCCATTGCTAATGTAGGCCTTGGAGCGGTATTTCCAACAACCATGGGTATCTGTAAAGTAACCAAACTTCTTGACTTTGAGATTTAAACTTTCAATATTTTTCTTATCACAAGAGTTCAGCTTTTTAAAAATTTTATTAGGAGGAACTACGGTGGCTACTGTAAATTATAATCCACCTGTCCACTTACCTTCTTTTCACTACCAGGACTCTTTTAGCTGTGTGTTTCTAATATCCGAGTTGTGCTCCTTTAAGGAGAGTGGGAAAGCCCTTTCATACTCCCCACGCTATTTAAATAGTAACCTACAGCTGATTCCACCCAGGAAGAGGGGGAGATGTTAAAACTCAGCTACTTTGCATGGCTTCTTGACACTCCTTCAGTTTTGTGTAGAGGAAACTTTTTAACCTATCTGGAGTCAATGACCAGTCTTAGACGTAATGCTGTTTTATTCCCAACTCCTGCCTCCTGGAGAGATGAGTTGGGGGTGATGCTTTCAGAAAGGCACCTCTCAAGAGGGGGCGGAAAAGTATACCCCCTAAAAGGCAGCTGGTTGTTGCCTTGTTTCGGCAACTGTGGCGTGGGAGACTGGTAACTCTGCTGTTGTTGGCTGGCTCTTGCTTCTGGTTCCCCAGAAAGGCAGACTCATTTGTGCTTGCATTCCCTTTCTTGAAACTCACTTTCAGCAGGTTTAATTGACACAATGGTAAAAACGTGTCTCACTGCTGGCAAGGGCACCTTGTATATTCTAGGTCTCGTCTACCAGTTCAGCTGTAGGCAGGACTGCAGTGGCTGGACCCATTTTTACTAGTGCAGTGTCAGTTCAATCTGCTGGGAAACAAGTGTGATATCTCAGGTAAGATGAGAGGAAGGTGCCTATTGGATGATTCCCACAGTGCTTGTAAATATGGATTCTTCCCTACACCAAGAGGATAAAAAGGTAGATGATCATAATCAAGAGTCTAAGTTGGCCCCTGTTCCACATGGGTGAAAGGACATTAAACCTTTGTGGGAAGCGGAAGAGTTTATATTGTTGCTGACATGGAGCTTGCTTACTACTGACCCCTCCATTCCATTGCATGTTTTATTGGTGTGAAGTAGTCAAGTTTGGTCTCTAGTTTTTGAACTGATGGCAAGACATTCATCTATGCTGCCTATGAAAGAACGCAGACAACGTGAACACTCACCTCCATCCTTTACTCACCATGAGGCTGAGAGTCTGCTCCACAGCAGATAGGAGCCAGTACAGTATTTCCTCTAATCTGAAATCCCACAGCTCAAACTCAAGTGTCCATCCACTCAGCATCTTGCCAAACAACTGGGCTGGCCTAAAATTGTGCCTCTAGCTACTGTTGATGGGCAAATCTTTAATATACTTAGATCTAAAGCAGTGGCTGGATGCATAATTTTACAGTGTAAAAGCAATAGCTTTAGCGTAGCTATCAACATCCTTTGCAACAAGATAATATGCATCGGATTGTAAATGTTTGAGTCATGGAGAGAGACTCTGATTTGTTTACCCTCAGAATGGTACTGTGCATTTCAATAAAGTGTAAACCCAAAATACAATCCTTTTACATGCACTGCACCTCTTCTTTGAGACTGGGCCACTGATTGGATAGTGATTTTCTGTAAGACAATGCTTCTCCTGTAGATAGAAAAGGAGTACTTGTGGCACCTTAGAGACTAACCAATTTATTTGAGCATGAGCTTTCGTGAGCTACAGCTCACTTCATCGGATGCATACCGTGGAAACTGCAGCAGACTTTATATATACACAGAGAATATGAAACAATGTAGTTGTAAGAAAGCTTGACAGAGATCTTGTAGGTGTTTGTCTCTGTCTGAGGGGTTGGAGCAAATGCGGTTGTATCGCAGAGCTTGGCTGTAGACGATGGATCGTGTGGTGTGGTCAGGGTGAAAGCTGGAGGCTTACAACTACAATACCCACCTGCAGAAGTAAAGAAACAGATTGATAGAGCCAGAAGAGTTCCCAGAAGTTACCTACTACAGGACGGGCCTAACAAAGAAAATAACAGAACGCCACTAGCAGTCACCTTCAGCCCCCAACTAAAACCCCTCCAACGCATTATTAAGGATCTACAACCTATCCTAAAGGATGACCCAACACTCTCACAAGTCTTGGGAGACAGGCCAGTCCTTGCCTACAGACAGCCCCGCAACCTGAAGCAAATACTCACCAACAACCACATACCACACAACAGAACCACTAACCCAGGAACTTATCCTTGCAACAAAGCCCGTTGCCAATTGTGCCCACATATCTATTCAGGGGACACCATCACAGGGCCTAATAACATCAGCCACACTATCAGAGGCTCGTTCACCTGCACATCTACCAATGTGATATATGCCATCATGTGCCAGCAATGCCCCTCTGCCATGTACATTGGTCAAACTGGACAGTCTCTACGTAAAAGAATAAATGGACACAAATCAGATGTCAAGAATTATAACATTCATAAACCAGTCGGAGAACACTTCAATCTCTCTGGTCACGCAATCACAGACATGAAGGTCGCTATCTTAAAACAAAAAAAGTTCAAATCCAGACTCCAGTGAGAAACTGCTGAATTGGAATTCATTTGCAAATTGGATACTATTAATTTAGGCTTAAATAGAGACTGGGAGTGGCTAAGTCATTATGCAAGGTAGCCTGTTTCCTCTTGTTTTTTCCTACCCCCCCCCCCAGATGTTCTGGTTTAACTTGGATTTAAACTTGGAGAGTGGTCAGTTTGGATGAGCTATTACCAGCAGGAGAGTGAGTTTGTGTGTGTATGGGGGTGGGGGGGGATGTGAGAAAACCTGGATTTGTGCAGGAAATAGCCCGACTTGATTATGTAAAGAGTTGTCACTTTGGATGGGCTAGCACCAGCAGGAGAGTGAATTTGTGTGGGGGGGTGGAGGGTGAGAAAACCTGGATTTGTGCTGGAAATGGCCCACCTGATGATCACTTTAGATAAGCTATTACCAGCAGGACAGTGGGGTGGGAGGAGGTATTGTTTCATATTCTCTGTGTGTATATAAAGTCTGCTGCAGTTTCCACGGTATGCATCCGATGAAGTGAGCTGTAGCTCACGAAAGCTCATGCTCAAATAAATTGGTTAGTCTCTAAGGTGCCACAAGTACTCCTTTTCTTTTTGCGAATACAGACTAACACGGCTGTTCCTCTGTCTCCTGTAGATGGCATTGCTTGTCTTTGATTTTATAATCCGTTCATATCGCTTTAACAACTCTACTCTCGAAACAGGTTCAAACTTTACATTTAAAGGTGAGGTGAAATATTAAAAATTTACAATCAATTCCTAACAATCCACATCATTAACAGCAGACTGTATTTGTGTAGGTTTAAACACAAACACACATTTTAATGTTTAAGCTTACTTTAAATTAGTTCCTTTTTCATTTACCTACCAGGACCCTTCTGGCTTTATTTCCCTCACTATACCTGCTGACCTCATGAGCACACAGCAATGCAGCTCCTCTACAACGTTTGATGCTACAAGTAGCTGAACAAATGCACGAATGAATTTAGGTCATGGTAAATCTTTACAAAACAAAACAGACACAATAACTTGTAGGGCAGCTTTAAAATATATTTGTAACTGAAATATACGAGTGGTCTGTTAATGACTTGGGATCATCAGCTGTTTTTACTTTATAAGGTGAAGTCACAGCTAAAGATTAGCAATGTTTAAAAAACTCTCAGTATTTCCGCCAGCCAATGGTAATTAATACATACATGATTCTGCCACCCAGAATAATCCCATTTCCCACCCCAAGCCTTAGAGTGTTGTCCCTGCTGTTTTTTCTGGCTCCCTTTTTAAACGATCAGCATTTAATGAAGCCGCCTGCCC